AAAATTAATCGGAAACATGGTTTTAAGTATTTTAATCATGCCAGTTTTATACTTTAAAATGGTCATATAGTTCATACTACTTAAACCAGTAATGAGTTTGATTGTTTTACCAAAGATAACTTTCATTGATAACTTATCATTGTGCATAATTATTTCAAAATTTTATTGAATAAGAGATATTAAGAAAGTGTTTATTATCAAGTCAACGTTTTAGTTGAAACCGATGAATACCGAATGGAATGAAATGTTCATTCTAGATCCCCTTACAAGATGTAATTTATATATATTCTAAAAAATTGTTTTGTAATAATTGTTTAGATCAATAGCATAATCAGAGTATTATGTTGAAGATTTAGCTAAGTGACATACAAGAATCAGTCACGAAATAGCAACCAATACCGACCCATAATCTATTATCTACTGATCATAATGAACAACAGAATCAGTAAATTTTATTTCCATGTTAAAATTCAACTAATTAATTAATAAGATTAAAGACTGATCTGTAACTATTAAATAGTAGTTTCAAATGATCGAATACCTAAAATGAAAATTTGGGTTTTTTCTTGCGAAACACTTTATAGTTGACATTAAGTACATGAATATTTGAGAAACAGTCTTAAAGGGCAAAAAAACAAACTGCTGGCAAATAAAATCGTAACACTGAATGTTACATATTCATTTTAACATTCTGAATCACTTCTTCATGAAATCACAAACAGATGAATCAGTATGTAATGGTCGGATTTATGTGCATATATTACTTATCAATAAGACAGCATAAACAGATTGAAATTTATTCCGAATTTTAATGTGTTGATGACTAAATGAATGAATAAATGAATGAATGAATAACTGGTTATAATGTAACTTATTTACACTGGGAAGAAACAAGTGCCGAGAGAGAGAGAGACTGAGAGCGAGAAAGGTGAAGTAGAATAACAATTTATGTCTGTTTTTTATCATCAGATATACACAATATCACTATACTTCAAACAAATTAATGAACAAGGGAATAATCATAATAGTAGATGTTATTTATTCCTTTTTCATTTAACATCATTAATGCTATGATGATGATTATTAATATTATTTCTATTTGATTCTTGAATTTTTCTCTTCATCTTAATTTATTTTAATGATAAGAATTTTTTTTCTCTAAACGAATATCAAGATAATGCTAATAATAATAATTAAAATATTATTATTAGCTATAATTATATGAAATGTGAAGATTAAAAACAGACTTTCAATAATTATTATTGATACAAAATGATTAGTACATTCAACTAATCTGTTAACATGTGTTTTACATCCATCAAACAAGAGTGCACTATATATCCATATCTATTAAGCTTCATTAGTTATATATACCTATATATTGATATAAATATACACGTACGCACATATACTTATATAATCGAGTGGTATCATTTTTCCTTACATGCATTATAACATTCCAACTAAATGATATCTAAAATAGGCAAGAGAATTTCATGTTTAATACAAAAATTGATGATTACACTTTAAATAATTAGTTACTTTTTTTAAGTATAGAATTTAATTGGCCTTCATTAATCATAATGACTTGATAGTTTTAATTGTACATTCAATGTTAAATGTGACAAGTAACATAAACCAGTCGTTACAATCATGATCAGATTGTAATCAATAATGATCACCTACTTTTTTTCGAATGTATTCATGAAGAAATTCTATTAGTTCTATCTAATTTAAATGATACACTGAATGAAATCGGTTGTTGTATTCAACTCTAATGTGCGGGTTTTAAACAAAAGTAGATGGAGTCAAATTTCGAACTTAGTAATCAATGGCTAAGAATGGAATACATTTATCATTGAATCATGAATTGACTAGTCATACGGTACAAATGTGCATACCATTTTATCTTTTCCTAGATGACGGTATATATATGTAGTATGGACTAATGTTATCTGAAACGTTTTTCTTGTTGTACTTAGCATTTTCGGCCAGTTCTTCATTCATTTAGTTACCGAGTGCTGTATATTACGGTGTATAGTCAATAAGATATTTGATTTCAAACCCTAGTTTTCAATATATTTGTGTTTTCCACTCGGGCACGTTGGACTCTGTTGTACTAGCATTCTCATAAAATATATTCAAGGTTTACTATAGACGCTTGAAATGAAATTCTTACCATAATTACACTCAACTACTAAATAAGTGGAAAATTTGACAGAATTTTTTTATATAACACACCCATTGGACATTGAAAAAATGTTACTGATAACCTCAGTTATAGCGTCCAATCGTTTGAATCCTAAATATGCGTACAAACAATTGTTGAATAAAGTTGAACATGATCAATTCAGTTATTTTCATTTTAAGATATTATTTCTAATTATAAATATTTAAGAGTTTTTTTTTCACAATTACAGTTCGTAACAATAAATCTTTTCACAATCAACCAAACATTCCTCTTATTAAATGTTCCAACATTTTAAGTATTTCTAGTCAACACCAATTGCTTATATTTCATGTTGATTAGTATGAATGTTTTAACTAGATATTTTCAAGGTAACTATTAAACTATTACCATTTATTATTGATTTAATGTTTTGCTTCAATGTACTGTTAATTGATAATTATTATTTTAAAATTAAATAATACTTATCATATTTCTTTCAAATAAATTACCTAATCATAACGAAAGCAATTAATTTTGGTGTAAAATTTAGATCAATAAAGACAAAAGCATGAAAATAATTATTTTAAAAAGTTAGTATTATGGGAAAAAATAATTGGAAGTGTTAATTTTATTTCTTTTTTCTTATGAAATTTATTCACACTTCTAATTAGAAATATGATAAAATAAAAACATATTTGCAAGAATATGTAAATTCGATTTAATTGTAGTGTAATTTTTAATTCATAGTTTATTATTGATATTTTCTATGCTGATAGTCAAACTAACTGAATTAGATACTTTCAATTTTATCGAAACCAGATTCCAACTGAGCAAGATTTTCGAAATTAAAACGCTGGAAGTGGATGAGACACAATGCGGAAATCGCCCAAATGCATCACGAGGCAAGCTCTATGTTGGAATCCTCAAGACTAAAGGAAAATAGGTAGACTAAAGAATACACATAGCCGAGAATTGGGGGCAAACATGAAACGAATCAATACCAATTATGTAGAAGTGGAAAAGGAAGGTCGTGGACAGAGTTGGTTGGAGGATGCTGGCCAGCTGCCTATGATCCATTGGAGGTAACAGGAGTAAGTATGAAGTTTAATTAAGTGTACGAATGTTAATTTTAAAATGCAATATTCCATATTATGCTAAATTTTATCGTCTTTATAATGAGTCCTGATTCTGTTCAATAATCACAGACTGATTCATATTTACTAATTAGCTCCTGTTATTTATTTCGATGTTACTTAGTGAAACAAAACCAGGAAAAATAATGATTCATCCCAACTTTTTTTATGATAACATAGCGTAATTTGACATTTAAGTTATATAAGAAAGATATTATGTAATGATTCATATAAATCTAACAAACTAATCATCACATAGTTTGATAGTGTACAACATGGACTGATTCTGTCTAACAACAAAACAAGCCTTGGAAACCAGATACAACTTGACAGCTTTGCTATCCTTGGATGAGACTCTATGGCAGTGAGAATCAAGGACTTTTGTTAAGTTTCATAGTTTAAATAATACTAAGAAGCTCTTTGATATTTACAAACTTTAATTAAAACTTTCAGTTGTTTATTAAAAGGATTCTAGTTAATTTTAATTCTATTTCGTTTTATTTATAAGTATATAGTATATATGTGCAATATTTGTTTCAACATTTACAGTTTGTTTTACTAGGAATCGGTAACACATTACTTCACAATTGTTTCGTTTTTAAATTTGTAAATTCCTAACATGACAAACCGGATCATTTTTAAGTGATTTGGTTGGCAGTTAAGATTTATCTATCTATTGGAATAGATCTCCTGTTACTTATTGCCATTAATGGTTGTCTCTCGTGTCACGTTAAAATCAACTCTTTTTACAAGTTACAATTTCTTATCAAAGAAGTGAGTTAAAAATATTATTGAAAGATAAAAAAGCTAATTTCTTTTTTCCTACATGAAACTATCAGAAAAGAGTAAAGCTCTGATTACTGAATCTCAAATGAATAACTCAATCATAACATTGTTTTCATGAAATTTGGCAATTTACGCAAATCGTCGCTTTGTGGTCAACTTATATTATTTTATGGCGAAAGTTATGTGATAAAGTCATAGACAGCATATATTTTTAAAAAAATAGACTAATTTTTAAAATAAGTAAATTTGCTGTTATTTATGTTAGTAGAATTAGATTGTGTTTTATTAATAATAATAATATATGTGAATTAAAAAAATTTATCAATAAGATAGGCCTCTTTTTTTCATAAATTTTGGCATCGTTTTTCATAATTCAATTAAATTGTTATTAGTAGTATGTATAAGATCTACTAATCAATTAATTTCAGATTATTTTAAATTTATTTGAAAAAAAGGAATGTTTAGTTCATTTGATAAAAATGACAAATCTGCATAAAGCATGATAACAAGGACTCTTCATCTTTTATACAATGTAAAAATAATGAAAAAGGTTGATCAAAGCTTTCGAAAAGAAAACCGAAAAAACAACTGGTAATCAATAAATTTAATGAACTCAGTGTGATTAGGTTGCATAAATTTATATGATTACTTCTGTGTTGTTTTTTCTACTGTCTTCTTCATTCAATGCCTAGACCAATAAAATATTGATCATCTACTTGTAGATATCAGTCCTACAAGTACTCATTCTTAGCGTGAATAACATTTCAAACTGTGAAACTACTTCTATAGGAAGCAAGGATAAATTCTTTCAAGATTATAGATGCACTTTGTTAATTAAAATCAGGTCTAATTCAACACAGTGTTTATTGTTGATTATCTTTACCCATCTCATTATATATAATATAACTAACCTTCTGATTTAATTTTCTGTTCTATTGACAATAATTTCGTATGGTTTTCTTCATATTCATCAATTGTATTATTTGTATTTAAAAGATCAGATATGAGGAATGATTTTTGTCCTTCATTTTCTTGTTCAAATTCATCAGAATTACTCAATGTGTTCAATGGTTGATGCTTATTATCATCATTATGATTATTACGTAAATATTCATCTGAATTATTTAATACCGAAGATGATGATGTTGTTGATGAAGATGAGAATGAGGATTGTTGACATTGTTGAATAAATTGCTTCATCATTGTGATAATATTTTCATTTTCGGTTAATAAATTTGAAGGAAAATTTAATTGTTGTAAATGTTCCAATGTTTTATGATGAATATTAATATCATTCGTTTCATTGTGATACTTATTCTCATTCTCATTATTATCATTGTCAGTGTCAACATTATGACCATTCATGTTGATCATGTTATTTGAATTGATTAAATTTGAAATGTAACATATATCGGTTTGTTTAGTTAAGTCAATTGAACTTGTTACTGTTGTCATAGCTTTAATGAGTGGAATATTTAAAAGTTATATTCAAAAGAATTGATTACAAGTTTATATAAAAAGATAAATCTAAGTAAAATGTCAATTATTTTCTTTTATATAATGTGGTTTTTATCCAGAAAAAGTAGAATATTTATAGATGAACAGCTTGTGCGTTTGTGTGTGTGTGTGTATGTGTGTTTTCCATATTTAATTAATTTTGTTTGGGCAATGTAAGTTGATTTTCTCACCCTTTTTATGATGATGATGATTATTATTATAACTGCCATTATAATATATTATCATTATCACATTATTATTATCATTTTGTTTTCACTTGCTACAACAATGTCATTCCCTAAAACATTTCTGATTAGCGTGAATGAATTTCACAGGGAGGAGGAGGAGGGGAGAGTGAAATTATAAATAAACACTCTTTTTTTCCATCCACTTTTAGTTGTATTTTTGTAAGATGTTTTTAAAACCTTTAGGATTAGACCGCCTACTTGTTCTTGATTTATCCAATCACAAGTGTCTCAGAGATAAATATTATTAAAATTTAGGCTTAAATAGTTCCGTCATTCCATCATTTCCGTTTTGTAAATTCTCTCACTTCTTCAATTGCCATTTACAATTTAGAAATCATCAGATCAGGATCATTACACAGTCATAGATGAGATACCAGTGAGTGAATAAACAAACAAACAAACAGACAAACAAGTAAACAGACGTGTTTACAAATATGATGAATTGTATACAAATGTTTATACTACTATTAGTATAAAACCCCTTCCATGTCATTATTTCCACACTGAATTTTTTTCCTAATTTGATTGTATCAGAACGAAAAAGAAATCAAAGTATTTCTCTATGAAATAAATAAAATTCAAAATAAAATTCATCTACATTTTTCTAACAAGTTTCAATGATAATGAGTTCACTTCTCTTTTCATTATAGTTAATAATGACTGACAAGTATCTGAGACAGATTATTTTGAGTTCTATCATTTAGGGAAAAAAAGCTTTATCATTACATACATGTAGTATATATGTGCTATAATTTAGCTAGAATTACAGGCATTCGTTATTTCTCATTTGTCAGTCAGTCAGATGCAACGTAGAACTTGGTACGTAAATGCATCAGTTCATGTTGCCATACCACATCAGCACAGAGATATAATTGTCAATTCAAATCCAATAGTAGGAGAGGTAGTAAAGGTACTAGAAGTAATCGGAGAGGGTAGGATTAGAAGATATTATTCAAGAATTATGATTCAGTGAGATAAGTTTAGAAAGTCAAAACTAGAGGTGTTGAAGAATCCAGAAGATTAGGATTTGAGAGAACACAAAGAATAAATGCACCGGCGCCATTGCGAACGGTTTTGAGCCATGTCATTCAGGGTCTCTAACCATCGATGATTATCATCTCGCGGACCCCAACCAGGTAGTCGACAACTACCGACATGACTCAGTCCATTTGTCAGTGACTTCATGGATTCCTGCCATATTTTGGTCTGGCCGCCCCTAAATTTCTTCCAACCTATTGCCACACTACAAAACAGGGCTCGTTGAGGCAGTCGGTGGTTAGGCATACGCAGCACATGTCCCGACCGCCTCAAATGATGAAGTTTCATTACTTCATCTATTGATCTGCCATTCCTACCTAGCACCCGATTCCTAATAACAGCGTTGCTCACTCGGGTGTCCCACGATATGCGAGCAATTCTTCGAAGACACTTATGATCGAAAAGGGATTTCTCATTTGTATTACTTATTAAATCTTCTGATTGATGTTTAGAACTACAACTGATCAGTCTCTTTGGCATATGTGTATCCTATGTGGATTGTTTCGATTTTGCCTACAGGTTACAAGCATTATCAGCAGAGGTGGGCGGTGGTTAGCAGTGGAGTGCAGGACACACGTTTCGTCCTATTTATGACTCGTCAACGAGATGTAACTTCATCTCAGGGCTCCGGAGTGAATATCAGCTCTGAGGTTTAATAAGTTATTTGTTTCTATATTAAGTAGATTTTGTCGCATTATAATCGTACAAATTGTTCGTTTTTGTTAATAATATAAAAAGTGAAATTATATAATGTCAATCTAATTGAAAAAGGAGATATTTATTTAGTTGATGTTTTGTGAATGATCAATACTCACTCTATGGTGTACACAAATGATCATTTCAATTAAAATACATTTGTGATATGGATGGTATCGAATGAATTTCATGCATTTTTTGAGATAGAATTATTTGCAAAAAAGTGGAAATTGAGCTGTCATTGAATATTGATTAGGAAGAGTTGAATTCCATCAACTAGCCTTAGATTGTGGGAAACTACTACCAGAATATCTAAAGGTTAACGATCCAATACATGATATTTCTGTGACCACATTCAACCACTCAGCATTGAATTAATTTGTCTCTGATGTTAAACTGCGCAGTTAAATAACAAATCACGGGAATTCAAGTGACAGGATTGACTTAACGATATTCATTTAATAACATCATACTCATCTCTTCAATTGTTTCATTGAATCCTTTGTCATAGTTAATTAGTTAGGTGTTAACCTGATGAAATTATTTCATAACTAACGTGTTTATTTCAAAATAATTCTCAGAAATCTGTAAATAAACTTTAACAGTTATTTTGAAGTTATTTTACAATCAGTCAGTGATAAGCATAATATGATTAATTATTTCCTAGATGAACAAGTTTAATGTTTATTCAGCATTGAATTGTTTTCAATTGATTGTAAATTAAATTTCTTTTGTTCATACAATACTTCTGTTGCGAATATAAAGCTCATTTGAAAGTCCTATCTCTCTCTCCCTCTCTCTTATTGGTTTTCGGATTATTAATATAGAAATGTTGTAGTGTGTTGATCATCCTATCTGTCTAGTGTACTATGATGCAATTTCACATTAGAAGAATTTCCAAATGGATATTATATTTCTCAACCTTAAAACATAGATTTCTGAAGAAATTCTCAAAATTCTAGTGAAAAGCTATGACCAGTGTAGTTCAAGCTCAGAGAAAAAAACACCACCACAATCATCCACCTGTGGTACAAATTTTCTCCACCATCTCAGTAACTTCCAAAGACAATGAATGAGGTTTCGCAATACTTCAGATTGCTCACAGTTAGACATTAACACCGTTGGATGCCGGCTCAGTGGTCTAGAGGTTAAGCGTTCGTGTGCGAGATCGAAGGTTCTGGGTTTGATTTTACATGAGCAAATGTCGTGTATGCAAACTGTTGTACAGTCTCATACTAGGACGAAATGTACGCCTAGCAGTACCAGGTTTCCAATGATGGCTCAACAATAAATTATCCAGGGTTTCAATGTAAAACAACATTCTCTATAACTCTCGAATGAAAAATCAGCACATTGCATAAAACTGTTAAAATGACTAATATTTTAGAATACATATTTTCAATAAGTAAAATTAGAAAATATTATCACAAAATTTGAAATAAATTAATCTCTATCAACGTTATCATCATCATCATTAAACAAAAATAACGTTATAAAAATCTTAGAAACAAAACGGGAAGAAAAAAATCAAAACAAAACAAGCGAAACGATGAATGGAATGTGAATGAAGGGAAAAGTTCAAAAGATTTCATTTTCTAAAAAAAACCAAAAGAATAATAAAGCATAATAAAGACATGAATGAATAAATCTATTTTTTTTATTTTGCAATTTTTAAATTAATTATATATATAAATATATATAATTTAATTTATGTTTCAATAATGAAGAACCAGATGTTTACATTTGTTTGAGTTCGAAACAGCTGTTTAATGTTAAAAGGCTCATAATAATCATAATAATGACAATAATAATAATAATAATAATAATCTAGAACTATCTATCCATTCATTATTTGATAAGACAATTTAAGTATTTGGTTTTTTTTTTTCTGTTTGAATAAATCTGTGATAAATAAAGCTTTGGTGTAATGAAGAATGTGATGACATTAGAAGAATGTAACGTATGAATTGAAAAAAAAGAAAGGAAAAATAACGCACACAAAAACTCTCACTATTAATGAAAACCAAAAAAAAAAGACGAAGGATTATGAAAATAAATTGTTGTTATTGTTGTTGTGGTGGATTTTTCTCTCGCTTTCTTTCTTCTCTCTTTATTGTTTCTCTTCACTACCTGTTTGTTGCATGTTTCTTTTTTCTGTTTTGTGAACGCATTGTTCTCCCTCTCATCTCATAATCATAGATAAACCATTCTTTCTTTTAAAAAAAAAAATTTATTACAATAATGGCAATTGATGATTAAATTTCAATTCGCTGTTCATTAAATTACATCATGGACATCATCATTCATCATCATCAAATCTAGACAATGGACATTTCTGTTTATGTATTGAAAATAACATGTAAAATCAAAAAAAAATAAAAATAAAAATAAAATGCACCGAATACAGTATAATTTATGCGGAAAAAAATAATGCTCTATTGAAATGGAATCAGAATGAAATAAAACACAGAAAAGCATGAGAATTTGAATAATGAGCATTATTTGATTATGACACAATACGTGTTATTTATTAGTGAGAATTAATTTGGAAATTACTTGTTACAACGGAATGCAAACCATCACTTTAATCATCCCCTAGACTCTCTCACTCACTCAGAGTATGTGGAATTTAGATAATAGTCAAATTCTGACCAAAGTATTGACGAGATAATCTGTCAGCTATAAATGGCAACTAATAGCCAGGATTTTATTTTATTTTATTTTTCATATGTTGTTTTAGTTAAGTATATCGATAACAGACACATATCTGACTGAATCCCAATAGAGTAGGTGATTACACTAGGTGCCATTGGGGTCTTTTGAAAATACGGGTAGCTTAGAATGATTGTTTTCGTTATATTTTATAGATTCAGAATTCATGATGATTTTTATTTTTGAGAAACTATTGGAAAGCTCCATTTTGAGACAATGCAACTCTCCTACTTACGCCTGTCACTCCTACTGCAGCATAGGCTA